TGTTGTTATGTGCCGTCAAGTCGGACTTGACTCATAGCAACCCCTCCTTGGGTTTCCGAGGCAGTATCACTATGGAAGTAGATTGCCTCATCTTCCTTCTGAGGAGTGGCTGGTGGGTTTGAACTGCCAGCCTTCTGGTTAGCATTCAAGTGCCTTAGGCCCTATGATACCAGAGCTCCTTCAAGTTAATTGTGATACTGTCTCAGAAACCCAAGTAGGGGTCACTATGAGTCAGATCCAACTTGACGGCAGTGAGAATGGCTAAGATTATGAACATTTCTTCATGTGTTTGCTGGTCACCTGAATATCCTCTTTGGTGAAGTGTCTATTCATTTCTTCTCCCCATTTTTCATTTGGATTATTTGTGCTTTTGTGCTGAGGTGTTAGAGTTTTCTATAAATTTGAGAGATAAGTCCTTTGTCAGATATGTTGTTGACAAATATTTTTTTTCCCAATCTGTAGATTCTCTTTTTACTCTTTTGAAGAAATCTTTGGAAGCACATAAAAATTTATCTTTTAGAAGGACTCATTCATCTAGTTTATCTTCTGCTGTTTGCACATTTTGGGTTATGCTTGATAGTGGACCCCTAAATTTGCCACCCCCCCTTTTTTTGAGGAATTTTATAGTTTTAGGTTTTCACATTTAAGTCTTTGATCTATCTGGAATTAGTTTTTGTGTATGGTGTGAGGTACAGATCTTGTTTCAATTTTCTGTGAATGGATATCCAGTTTTGCCAGCACCATTTGTTAAACAGACAATCTCTTGTCCATTTAATGGATTTCAGCCTTTTATCAAAGATCGGTTGACCATACGTCAATGGATCTGTGGTAGTTCAATTTGTGTGCCAACTTGGCTGGGCCTGGTTGATTGGCTGGGCAGCTGGATGTAGTATTCCCCATGATGAGACTGGTAATCAGGAATGTGGTCTGCTTCCTGTATATAAGGAAAAGCCTTGGGGATAGTCTTGAGTTTATGACATGTTTGGACCATACATGTAGCCATGTCATTTTTCAGCAGTCTGCCATGCTCTGCCGACCTTGGGACTTACAATAGACTTAAGTTAATGGCCTGCCATGTGGTTTGGTAACATCAGGCTGTGCCTTTTTACTTGTCAATCTTGGGTTTGTCAGTCTCAGCAGCCAGCAGTTATCTGAGTGAAGAAAAAGCCTCTAGTTCCAGTGGGCTGGAAGCAGGAGGCAGAGCTGAATCCCAAGGTTGAGGGGGCTTTCATCTAGCCCCTACAGCCTGGTACTTTGAACTTGCACTTAAAGCCTCTAAATTGTAAGAATAAACTCCTGTCTGTTAAGGCCATCCCATTTGTGGTATATTCCTGTCAAAGCAGCACTAGGTAACCAGAACAGGATCTGTTTCTGGGTTCTCAATTCTATTCCATTGCTCTATGTGTCTGTCGTTGTACCAATACCAGGCAGTTTTGACTACTGTGGCTGAAGAGTAGGTTTTGAGATCTAGGCTCATTATCTTTCAATCTTCTTTTTTAACACATGCCATTATGTCTATAATTCTTTAATTATTATTTTAAATCCATCCTATATATTTTTATGTAATGTTTTCATTATTATTCAAGTCAAAATATTTTTAGTTTTCATTCTTGACCATGGATTATATAGTAGTATGGCTTTAATTTCCAAGTAATTTTATTTATTTTTTGTAATAATTTTATTGGATTGTTATCTGAGGATGAGACTTGAATATCACATCTTTTGCATTTATTAATATTTCCTTTTGTTGTTGTTATTTTCCATTGAGTCAGACCCCTTCTTGGGTTTTCAAGGCAGTATCTCTATGGAAGTAGATTGACCAACCTTCCTTCTGAGGAGTGACTGATGGGTTTGAACCGCCAGCCTTATGGTAAGCATTCAAGTGCCTTAGGTACTATGCTTTAGGGCATACTATTTAGTTATGTATTCTGAAACTATTAGAATCAGGGTTCCATATATGTCCTTTACATCAATCATACAGCTGTGCCATTTTAATCTTCTGTAGTTTACTAATTTTGTATCTGATATCCATCAATATTTCAGAGAGCTCTGTTAAAATCTCCCACTACAATTATGTACAATTATGTATACACAAGTTTAAAACTTTCATATATCTTCCTCAGGAAGATACATATTCTTTATTCCTTTTATCATCATTCACGTTATACCTAATAATGCTTCATAATTTAACATTTAATATGATATTATTTTATATATATGGACTCCATTTGGGTTAGAATTGGCCTTCTATTTCTTTTTCTATCATTTACTTAAAAATTTTATGTATCATTTTATGTTACTTTATTTCTTCTAAGAGCATATGGATAGCTTTGCTATTTTATCCAATCTGAGAATCTCTTTTATTGGCAAGTATGACCCAGTTTACATTTATTACAAGTAACAACATATCTGGATTATGTTTGCATATTATTTCATATTGTTTCTATTCTTCTCTAACTTATTCTCATTTTCCATTGAAGTGGGTTTTGTCCTACTGCTTTAACGAAAAAAAAAAAAAAAGCCTCACTGCCATCGAGCCAATTCCAATTCATAGCAAGCCCCTTTAGGTTTCCAAGGTGGTAAATCTTTATGAAAGTAGATTGCCCAATCTTCCTTCCACAGAGTGGCTGGTGGATTTGAACTGCCTAGCTTCTAGTTAGCAGTCAAATGCTTTAGGCACTATGTCACCAGAGCTCTTCCTACTGGTAACCACTAAAAGAACAGAAATAGAGTATTTAACTTCTAAAGAAGGTTGGGCAATCTACTTCCATAGTGATACCACCTCAGAAATCCAAGGAGGGGTCACTATGAGTCGGGTCCAACTCGATGGCACATAACAACAACACAAATAGATTATTTAACCTACTGTTTAAATAATTAAATAAGAAGTTAAATAATCTATTTCTGTTCTTTTAATGGTTACCCATAAAATGCAGATTTGACCTAGGATAACAATAAAAAAATAAATAAACAACCAAAAAAAAAAAAAAAAACCCACACCCTTCTCCTGAAAAATACATAGCCTTTAGATTGTTTAAAGTGAATCATTTCCTTCCACTGCACATACATTGTTTAATAATAAAACTGTTCCATGCTACACATATACTGTTGAAATAGAATATTACTTTTAGTTGTTTTAGTCATCAATGCTTGTCTAGATTTGTTCACATATTTATCAGTTTATTTTCACACTATTTTTTCTTGTATCCCATCCCTTTCTTTTAAAGTACAACCATAAATATTTCTTTAAATAAAACAATCTTGGTCTGATATTGCCTCAATTTATCTCTTTTGAAAGGGTTATAATCTGACTGTTTAGAAATCTAAGTAGAAATAGCTATTTTCCTTCAGTAATTGGAAAGTATTTTTCCACTTTCTTCTGGCCTATTGGTAAGTCTGTTCTCATTTTCCTAATTGTAGTTCCTGTCTAGGTAATCTGTATTTTTGCTCTTCTTTCTGTTAAAATTCTTACTGTGGATTTAGTGTTCTGCAGTTTCCATTCTATGGCCCTAGGTATAAAACATTCTTAATTAATGCTGTTTTGAATGTTTGTTTTTAGAAACAGAGGATGCATATCTTTCTTTAATTCTGGAAAACTCTTAGTAATTATTTCTTTGAATTTTAATTTTTCCTTCTATTTTCTCCTCTTTATCATTTATTAGATAAACATTTGAACATCTCATCCTGTACTTCTTACTTTTTCTTTTGTATTTTCTGTATCTTTAACTCTTTCTGCTCTTTGGGATACTTTCCTGGCATTTATCTGTAATTCATTAGTTTTTCTCTCTGTTTTGTGAAGTTGTGCCAAGGGGTGCATGTGTTTCTAGTCTATCCTTCACTGAGGAAGCAGCTATTGGAAGGTCTCAATTTTATTCAGGGGTCTCTCAGTTCTTCTTCCTTTCCTGGTGCAATCCTAGGTCTTACTTCTAACTTCTGATTAAGCATAAAAAATTACAGCTCCTAAATTACTGAGCTTGACTACCCTCCACCCTCACCCACAACCAGGGTCATGGCAACATTAGCTTACTAATTTAATTTTATGGTTTCCATTTACCTCTTCATTTCCAGCATTATATTTCAAAGAGTCATTATATTTTATGCCACATTTCTGCATATTTGTGGGAGAAGGGTTTCCAGGTTATATTATTAGTTATGTAACCAATGGATTTTACTCCCCATTTTTCAGCTAAGAAAACTAAGGCTGGAGAGGATAAGTGGCTAGCTTGAAATTAGAACACGGAATAAGATCCTGATGTTAAAGTTTTTCAGTATGAAGTCTTTTTCTTGACATTTCAAATATTGTAAATATAAATGTACACACATATGTGTGCATACACACCAATATCCTACCACATCTTATGACTAAGCCACTATAAAATATGTTAAAATAACATGAACATAGAAAACATATAGGTTAGGCTGTGCATCTAGTAATCACACACACTAAAAGGTTATCTTTTTTTTTTTTCTACACCAATAAGGAAAAATTGCTAAACTGAATCTTCTAAAATTCAATTTTACACTAAATCAAACCTGGTTCCGAGTCTGAATTTTCTCTTGGAACATCATCATAAATTGCCTCTTCTGGATCTGAAATAAAAGGAGAGGGAAACTTTAAAACATTGACTAATTCTAATCCAGTTTAATTTAAATTTTATAGGGCAATTATCTCCTAAGACTAATAACATTATCACTATTCAAAAAGCTTGTGTGGATAATTAATGGTAGTTTACCAAAGCATAAACATAATTTTCAGGCTATAGTATTTCATTGGGGGAATGAAGGCTATCACTCTAATTGTACCAGCTGTAAAATATCACCAACAGGTGGTTGTTACTGTTTTTCAGGCCAATTTTATTCTATTATAATGTGCTCAATTATACATATTTATATGTTTCTTTTTTAAACATTTTTAAGTGTATGAAGTTAGTGTGTGTGTCACAAAGAATACAAAGGGGCCACACAGAGTTTCAGAAATGGAGAAAGAGCCCAATTGATGCTGCACAAATGGGAAACCACCAAAGGAAAGCAATGACTAGATATGAGAAGTAGTCACATGCAAGTATAAAAGGTTCAACTATTAGGATAAACTTTATCAAACCGTATTATGTGGGACATTAGTGTCCCATGAAATTGAAACAGGTTTTCTTAAAAACAGAAAAATAGGAGAGAAGAAGTCCCATCAGCAAAATATTCAGAATACATTGAATAAGATAATTATACAGTAGATTAGCAATAAAATTTGAATTTTTATTTTAATATTTGTGAGTTATGTGTTTTAGAAAATCAGTTTCTTAAAAAGCTCTTTTGCATAAACTTTACAAAATACTCGTTTATTGGTGCTATCCTTGCCATAGTTGAATCTCCAAACTATCATGTGTTACTTATTATACTGAAAACCACAAAGCAACTGATTATTAAACAACAAAGGAAAATGAGATAAACAAACTTAACATGTGTTGACATCTAGCCATTGTTACTATTCCCATGTCACCAGGGGTGGTGGTTGTTGTTATTTGGTGTCGACTCAGCCCCGACTCATAGCGACCCCTCCTTGGGTTTCTGAAGCAGTATCACTACGGAAGTAGGATTGCCCAACCTTCCTTCCAAGGAGTGGCTGGTGGGTTTGAACCGCCGGCCTTCTGGTTAGCAGTCAAGTGCTTTAGGCACTATGCTACCAGAGCTCCTATCACCAGGGGTAAGACATGAAAATTTAAGAAGAGTCCTATACTCTTTTAATGCTGTTAAGCCCTCACATTATAGAGATTACTTTCTTTTAATAATCTTTATTAAGTGTAATAATAGTGTTTCTAATCCTATTAGATAATGTTGAAGGACTGCTAGTGTACAGAGTTTACTTTCAAATGTAGTTATTCTAATTAACTGTTATATGGATAATAAAAATGAATAATAGAAGAAATTCAGACAAATATTGCATTAGAAATACAATTGCTAGGGAATAACAAGTCAATAATTTAATCTTCTAATGATCCCCATTTAATGGCCCCTTAGCAGAATCATCTAATTAAACTTAGTTCTTTGTTTTGACAATGCTATAATTAAAATCATAATGAACCATTCCATGAGATAATTCAATGATTAGGAGATAACTAAGATGGTTCTACCTTGTAAGTCAATCATACAACTACACAGAGATTAGTGAGTCAGTAGGTAATAAAAGGGGTAATTAGGAAAGTAATCTTTACTTTTCCTTTAAAAATTCAAAATAATGAAATCTATTTAAAAATATTTTTAGGTTTTAAAACCACACATGGAATAGAAGATTTGTTACATCCTCTGGTCATTGGGTTGGCTTAACCAACCACACCCTATCCTTTCAAAAATGGCACCATTAAAGATCACCTCATTGGGGAATAGCAAGAAAGAATACTTTATTAACGTTTCAGTAATGACTCACTGATTGTGAGCTGGCAGTCAAAGTGTCATTCCCCAATCTATAACTTTCATAATGAAAACAAAATCTGTACCAGAATGAAATAATCAAGAAGGGTTCTGTGCTTGGATGGATAATGCTAAGATAATATGAACAATTTCATAAAGCTCTGGAAAAATATTTACATAATCAGCTTTTATCAATATTTTAAGTAAATGAATATATTTTAAGAGGTTCAGATCTAATAATACATAAGAATAGTGAAAACAGCCTGGCAAAAAAAGAAAGAAAAAACACAGTATCACTCTGTGGGCACAGGTTTATACACAGCTTGCTGAGGATTCAGGTGATGGTCCATCAGGACATCTGGTCGTCGGTGGTACTTACTCTCCATCCATGCTGTATTGGCAGGATCTGCAACCCATCGGGCCAAGGCACTGTCTTCTTTATTGACTTGATCTTCACTTAAGGGAAACAAACCATAGAGTCAGAATACTGACAAACATTCCAGTCGTTAGGTTGCTCAATGCCCCCAAAGTACAGTGAAAACTCTGAGAGACAGAACTCAATGCCACTGCCTTTTTTTTCTGGGTTTCACAAGCTTTTCCCCTTTGACAGGGTGTTTATTGTGTTATTACTATCTATTAAGAACCTTACCTCATTTTAGTTTTGAGGTTTCCTTCTCTAACAGGTTCTGGTTTTTGCAGGTTTTACTAAGTGTGTTATGTGTATACATTTCAATGTTCATATATACTATGCCTGAAAATTGCATATTTTTCCAGAGGTTATTATAAAAAATACTAAATTCTAATTTCACTCATAACTATACGTAAGTGCTTCTGAATGGCCACCATATGTATAGCTCAGTATCTAGCATGACAGGAATTTAAACATAGCCCTGCTTACAAAAGGTCTAAATTTTCTTCTATTTTCTCTTATCAGAACTTTTTGATTCCTATTTTATGCCACACAAGGTGCTGGGGTCTAGCGAAAAGTAAGTTATAGGCCTCTTGGGTTCTAGTTACAGGCTAATGGTAGTAAAGACCTAAAACAAACAAAAATTTTAAATGGCAATTACTCAACTGGTGCTATGTTCATAATGGAGGCCAGATCATAAAGAGTCTTGCACAAAATGTCAAGAGATTTGGGTTTTAATCTGTAGACAAAGGGAAGCTTGATTCAGAAGAATGACAAGATCAGATTCATTTAACAAATACTTATTGAGGTCCATCTCTGTGACAGTCATAGTTCTTAGTAATACAAACAAAACCCTAACCCACTGCCATTGAGTCAATTCTAACTCACAGCAACCCTATAGGACAGAGTAGAATTATCCCAGAGCGTTTCCAAGACTGTAATCTTTAAGAAAACAGATTTCGACATCTTTCTCCCACAGAACAGCTGATGGGTTCTAACCACCAACCTTTCAGTGAGCAGCCAAACACTTAACCACTGTGCCACCAGTGTTCCTTAAATATGAATATACAAAAAAAAACAAAAACCCCAAACTCATTGCTGTCGAGTCGATTCCAACTCATAGCAACCCCCAATGGGTTTCTGAGGCTGTAAATCTTTATGGAAACAGATTGCCTCATTTTCCTTCTGCAGAATGGCTCATGGGTTTGAACCGATGACCTAGTAAGCAGCCAAGTGCTTTATCCACTATACCACTGTTGTTGTTATGTGCTGTCGAGTCAAACCCAACTCATAGTGACCCCTCCTTGGGTTTCCAAGGCGGTATCACTATGGAAGTAGATCGCCCAACCTTCCTTCCAAGGAAACAGAAAACAGAAAAACAGAAAAAACCTCTGACTGAATGAGGCTTGCATTACTCAAGACATTTTATAAACTCAGCAGTAACACACACACACACAAAAGAATTGGAAGGAAAAGAGATTGGAAATAGAACAAGCATCTACAGATAAATACGGAAATTTCTGAAACATTTATATATGGAAAAAAGAATCATTAATATAAAATTAAGTGGCAACACAATGCAACATCTTCAGAGTAAGAGACAGAGACAATGAGTGTCACTGCAGTAGATTCTTTTATCATTTCATTATTTGCTAAACATTCTAATGAATAATGAAACATTTGCAAAATGGCAATAAAGAAAAATCACACAATCTTGAAAATTTCCAGATAATGGACACTTTAGATATTCAAGGAAGTGTGACATAATGTGTTGTATTGTGGATTTGTGTAAAAATTAAAATCTATTTCCTGTATTTAGTTGGAGAATTTACCACAGAAAGAAATATTCTTGTACTTCTTAAGTTTTAAATTATACTAAAAAAATAAAAGAAAACCTGAAATAAATATGTTTCACATTTGTACAGAATCTTAAATTATTCCTGAATATTTTTCAGACTTTTGAAAATTATTTGAGTTATCCTTTCACTTCAGTTATGTTCTTTTCTTGTAAAGGAATTGCGCTATTCACACTGAATAATAAGATCTCATGCACCAATATTTAATAGATTGTGATTTCTAATAGTCTTGGGTAGATATACTTTGTGAAATAATTCTATAGTTAAATTAAATAGAAAATTCTTATTACATGAATACTTTTCCCTAGATAACCCATGCATTTTTAGAAGAATTCATGTAACAAATACTTTTAAAAGGCTAGCCTTAGTAACTGAAAGGAAAAAAATGACTTTGGCAAAGAATTCCTGCCTAACTGTAACTGATACATCTTGATGCTTAAAAATAAAGTAACTCTTTTTATCATCTCCTCTCTGCTTTGCAGATTCCCTGCATGTGTAAATGGAAATACCCTGCTAATCCATTTGCTTACTAAAATGGAAGGCTTTTCTTGATGTGTCCAAGATGACACAGGCATTGAAAACCCTGAGCCTTCAGGGGTGGTATCATCCCAACCACCTGGGCCAACTCCTTCATGAAATTGTGTGTGGAGGGCAATGCAATCAGTTCTGCAGTCACTCTGCAGATAAAAAGCAAGTATTTTCCCCCTTGCAGAGGGGAAAAGGTCACTTCCTTCTGTAGCATGCAGACAAGATTTCACAGATGACGTAGAATTTGAAATGGGCTTTGAAATACCAGTAGGTAAGAGATTAAGCAGATGACAATCTAGATAGATAAAAGTGCATCAGCAAAGCCACAGGAGCAAGAAACAAAGTCCACAGGTCTGAAGAAAAGTACATTGTAAGGAAGTCAAGGGAAATGAAGCTGGAAAAGAAAATTAGGTTGAAGAGAGGGATAAGAAGAACAGTTAAAAACTATAGAGTGATGTTGTTGTGTTGTTGCTGTTGTTTGCTGTCGAGTCGGCCCCGACTCATAGCGACCCCTCCTTGGGTTTCCGAGGCAGTATCACTATAGAGTGATAATCTAGAGAAATGCATTTGTTCATTTATTTATTTACTGAAAATTTGTGTTTTTGACATTTCTGTCTAGGCCAGGTCTCTTTGTTATAGGCTCTCATGGAGCCACATTCCTTTCTTTCAGAGCAAGAAATGTGATTGTCTATTCAGTACTGTGGCTGTTTGATTACTATCTTTCTGCCCCACCAGAATTATGAGATGTGTAATGGCATTATGGTTGGCTTTACTCACTTTTCTATTCTGGATGCTTTGCACATGGTAAACACTCAACAAATGTTTGATGTTTGGCAAATGGCAAAAATAAACATACCTTCTATGCACTAAGCCCACTGTCATGCTAGGTGGTAAATATTCTAAGATTTAATAAAACCTGATCTTTGTCCTATATGTTGTTGTTGTTGTTATGTGCCGTAGAGTCGGCCCCAATTCACAGCGACCCCTCCTTGGGTTTCCGAGGCAGTATCACTACAGAAGTAGATTGCCCAACCTTCCTTCCAAGGAGTGGCTGGTGGGTTTGAACCGCCAGCCTTCTGGTTAGCAGGCAAGTGCCTTAGGCACTATGCTACCAGAGCTCCTTTGTCCTATATAGATATAGAAAATAGAGTGATAGTACAAAGCAATGAATTACAGTGCAGGGATGAATAAATGGTTCTGGCAATACAAAAGAGGACCTTTATGGAAAAGAAGCATTTAAGCTGAGTGTTCAAGGATAAATAGAGGTTCCCCTGGTACATGGAATTCCTGGACATTTCAAGCAGATGAAATAGGAGCTGTAAAGGCAAAGAGGCACAAAACAAAGATTCTATAAAAAAAAAAAGTTTGGAAAATTCTAGATTAAAAAAAAAACTAAGCTTTTTTTTTTTTTCAACCAAAGGATTCTCAAACATTTATTATGCTTATGCACATGCTGTGCATGTCCACAAGAAGTTAAGAGAAAGGTGGGATCTTCCAATTCTATCACACATTGTGATAGCTGAAGCTGTGTGTCAACTTGGCTAGACCACAATTCTGTATGGTTTAAGCAATTGTGATGTGGTTATTTCCATGATGAGATCGGATATACATGTTTTGAACCGCCAATCCATTGAAAGGGAGTTTCCCTAGGGGTGTGGCCTGCTTCCAATAAATTTATGGACATCCTGGGAAAAGAGACACTCTTCTGTGGATCAGGATCCTGTTGTGCTGCCTACAACTGTCTGTGAGCAAACAATCCACCATTTGGCGTGGAGATCTTTGATTTGTCATTTGTTAGAGTCAACAGCTGGTACACTGCCTGCCAACCTTGAGCTCGTCAGCCCCTGCAGCTGTGTGAGTCACAAAAAGCCTCCAGCTTGATGTTTGATCCAAGAACTTGGGACTTGCCAGCTTCTATAAGTGTGGGAGCCATATTCCTAAGATAATTTTTTTTTCTCTGTATGTATATGTAAGCTTTACTTCTCTAGAGAACCCAGCCTAACACACACATGGATTCATACTTCTCTTTTTCTACACAGAATGATAATAATATTTTGGAGAGCACTGATGTTCAGTGGAACACAATTTCAGGAACACTGGGCTAGAAGACAGAATATATAGAAGACAGTATGGCAAGCAAATAGACAAAAAGTTAGACTAGGACCAGACAGTGGAACTTGAAAGAGACATTTATGCAGGAAATAAAGACCTAGGAACAGTCAACACTACTTGAAAACAGGTGAGGAGCTGACAATTTAAACACATGGAAGGATAGGAGAGCACATTAACATTATTTGTAGTCAACAATTCAAGAAAAAAAAGTCATGAATTCAGAACATATTTGTAAAATTAATGAAGATACCTGTTTGGTGGATCCTCAGAACTTAAAGAATTAAATTGGCTATCTTCTGCTACTTCCTGTGTTTCTGCTAGGAAAGAAAAAAACTGATATTGGTTCTAAGCTTAACAAAAATGCTCATGAAGTGGATTTTAGCCTTAAAATAATTTCATATTTTCTTTTCTAATCAGCAATGGGCTTATGTTAGCATAAAGCTTATTAACTGATATATTAAAAATGTTTAACTTTTAAATAAAATGTATTCAAAACTGGGTAGAATAAAAAGTGATACCCAAAGATTTTATAGAAGAATCAGAAACAAAACACAACAGGTACCCAGATAAATAAAACTACATTTAAAAATAATATTAACTCTTATTTCTTGGGTTTTCATGGAAATTCACAATTGTGATTTAAATAAAAGTATGTACATATGGTACCCTCAAAATATTTTAAGGGAAAAATAGTAAAGTTTGTGATGTTTGAAGCCAAACCTTTATACACACATATACATACTCACACACATACAGCTACACACACACACATACAAAATTTCATATATGCCAAGTCTGGTGTTTTTCTCCCATTATGTTCTTGGCTTACCAAGATTAGTGATGAGCTCAGGAAAAAAGTTAGGTCACATGTCAGACCAGAAGCACTGTCAGGATTTGAAGTCAAATCCACCCAGCTTCAAAATTTGCTATTCCCACCATACTACAGTGCCTCAAAGAACAGTGAAAATGACCAAAAATGACGAAAATATTCCACAAAGTTGCAGAAGACAGAAAATGTTGATTGAAATCAAACAAACTTTACACAGTGAATTATTTTTCCCTTCAGCATGGGTCAAAAGCACAGGTGGGTTTGTATTACGTTGCTTTCTATCCTTAAAATGCACACCCCATCTGTTTTCTCATAGTATGCACCTTCCCAGAAAATTATTCTCATTGTGTGCTCCACATTTCAACAAACAAAATTCACCAAGATTTAATGTCTGCCAGCCAGAATAGAAGACATTTGATAAGGAAGAAGGTGAATATACTCATTGGGAATTTCAGCTACAAGCCTTTCCCATTGCAAAGTGAAGATAACATAGGAAAAATGAAGTTAACAAACTGCCCAATGTCATCTAGGTAGAAAGCTGCAGATCTAGAATTTGAACCCAGGCCTAATGCCAAAAACCTTGCTTTCTCTACCGCCTCAGGCAAGAGATAGGTGTACTCATTTCTCTTGAAAGGACCAAAAATATAGACACCCTTGTTCCTATAATAAGCCTCACAATAGTGTCTATTATAATATAGGCTTCTTAATGGCTCTAGGTTGACAGCAATAAAAAGCAAATTATTTTAATAAAGTGCTAAATTATTTAAAAATATGACTTTAGATAATGGTAAATATTTTAAAATAACCACATTATTTAAGAATGTTGTTGTTGTTGTTGTTATGTGCCATTGAATCAGACCTGACTCATAGCGACCCCTCCTTGGGTTTCCCAGGCAGTATCACTATGGAAGTAGATTGCCCAACTTTCCTTCCGAGGAGTGCCTGGTGGGTTTGAACTGCCAGCCTTCTGGTTAGCAGTCAAGTGCCTGAGGCCCTAGTAAATGTACTTTCATTAAGCACAAAATCTCCATAATCCACACTTCATTATTTTTAGATTGTTCTTGCTCTGTAAGGCTACTGAATAAGAACTGTATTGTTGATCGTGGTAAATTCCCAGGATGACTGCCAATTACAACAAGAAAACATCTACCCTAAAAACTTTCTGTGGCTTCCAAAATACAAAATCAAGATTTACTTGATTTTTTCTCATTTGTTATTAAACTGGAAGGAAATAATCCTTTTATTGAAATTTTCACCAAAATATAAATTATATATGTAAGAGGCCATTCTCCTCAAGTGTTCCATTAGAAAAACATTACATATACTTGGGAAATTCCTTGTGGTGTGTCCTGGGAAAGATAACAGGAGAATGTATTTAGGAGAGAAAAGGAAAGACTAACCCAAGATATCTTTATTGGGTCAATTCTTAATAGAACAAACTTTGAGTTTTTAAAGGAAGAATAGTATTTTCATTCAATATGTACTCACAGGTTCAACACTTGAAACCTTTACTGCTCTCTTAAAGACTGGACCTGAAATAGTGATGGTAGCACCTGACAGTAGAACTCAGACTCTCAATCTTCAGTAACAGGAATGGCTAACTTTCACACTATTTTTTAAAACCCCAAAAATAAATCTCTGTAAAAACAGCCAAAGCTTAAATAGCAGTAAACCAAGCCAGCTGCTGTGAGTCAATTCCAACTCAGGGAGCCCCACATGTGTCAGAGAAGAACTGTACTCCTTGGAGTTTTCAATGGCTACTTTTTAGAAGTAGATTCACAGGCCTTTTTTCTGCCGTATCTCCGAGTAGACTCAAACCACTAACATATTAGTTAGCTACTGAACACTAAACTGCTTGTGTCACTCATTGACTTAAACAATGTTAGCAAGTGTTAAACATAACAGAAAACAGTTTTTTAAAACTGAGTCATTCTAAGGTACAAGTTGGTTCCTTTTTCACCAAGTAGAAGTGAAAGAAATGACTATTTAAACCAACACCTTTCTTATAGAGCTATGAGAATTGAGTCTCCAAGAGGTTAAGTGATGGGCCAAATGTCACACAGGTGGTTGATGGCACTATTGCTCCTGGCTCTTGCATTCATCTTCACCATGGGTCCCTGGACTTCAGGACAGCTTTCTTTCTAATTTGCTCTAAATTTATTACTGTTAGCTATGTGATATTGGAGAGATCATGCTAGCTTAATCAAGAAACAAAAATTCTCTTTACTTCTCTTAGCAATGTGTAGCTGGTTTTCCCCTAAAGAAGCTTCTGATCCTCACAGATCAAGGCTCTACTAGTAGTTTCTCAATGTGCTCAGAATCCATCTTCCAGGTCTCCCTGAATGAGAGCATATCAGACAGAAAGGCAGAGAGAGTTTTCGATGTCTTTCTCCTTTCCTTCCCTATTCTTATTCCCCTCAATTCCCATTAATGAAAATAGCTAGACACATACTCTGACCTCAAGAAATTCATATTTTTCAGATTTATAGATGATTTTAGACATCTTTTTTTTTAAAAAAAAAAAGCTCTATCATTTAGAATAAGTGATAAACTGTAATTTAGAATAATAAATGCCAAAAGAAATGGATAAGTTCTTATGTAATTTAGAATAATAAATGCCAAAAGAAATGGATAAGTTCTTATGAGCAGTTGTAGGAAAGGGAGGCATGGAACTGGAGTATAGTTCATATAATTCTGCCCTAATATTATACGGTAATATATTTGAGAGTAGACATTACTTCAAAATTTCCCCAAAAATAGACTCTGCTTTCTTTCCTTAATTATGTTCCTCTCATAGAGAAAATTATTCTGGGCTCATTTTTCAACTTTAAAAACAAGCATCTAATGACTAGATGGAAAGGCCCTTGGAAGTAAGAATGGCCAGACTTCATCTCATCTGCCTTAGTCATGTTATCAGAAGGGACCATTCTCTGGAGAAGGATGTCATGCATGGTAAAGTAGAGGGTCAACAAAAGAGGGGAAGGCCCTCAATGAGATGGATTGACACAGTGGCTGCAACGATGGGCTCAGGTATATTAGGGATCACGGCTCAAGTATAGTAGGGATCGTGAGGCTGGCACAAGACCGAGTAGTGTTTCGTTCTGTCATACATAAGGTCACTAAGAGTCAGAGACAACTCAAAGGCACATAACAACAACTACAATGATTAGGGTAGGGGAAAAATTAAGCACAGATTTTACTAAAAAATATATCATTTCTCATTGTGCAAAGAAAAAACAAAACAAAACAGTACCTTCTTCATCCACAGAAACAGTGCGAATAATAACTGGACTGGAGTAGGCTGGCAATATCAAAGGCAGGTTTGAAGGTACTGCATAGCCACAAGGCACAGGAACAGAATACCCACTGGGCACATGGAGGCCCAAGCTTTCTTCCTCAGCATTTGGTTCTGGAGTCACGGCTTGATCTTCCTGGAATGGTGTGATGTCAATGACAGAATAGGGATTCACTTTAGTTGGTATTGTAAGTTTAATGGGCTCTACTGATACGATTGTTTCTGTTCCAGTTCCATTTTGTCCTCCTGAAGGATGGAAAAGAAGACTTGTTAGCAAACAAACACAGTCATCAAAAGCATGTCTTACACTCGATCCTAGGGGTAGATGCAAAAATAAAGTGGTGAAACTTCCCACTGAACTCCTCCACTCTAAAGTTAAGACTCCCTAGAGATGTGCAGACTGCAGGTGCGTACGTGTGGCTGCTCATCATACTGGTTGGAGGGTGTTGCCCACATTACTTTCAGGAACAGAAAAACGTATGGGAATCAGGGGGATCAATGCAACCTTTCTGAGCAGGTGAAATATATATGGCTTAGAAGCTCCTGAGACTGCTTATCTAACAAGATAAATAAGTTATAAGCTGCCAAAAAAGAAATACCAGCGTCATTAAATATACCAGAGGTTTTTGTTATGGAGAGAAAAAATTCCTTTTGGTCCTAGTACTGTAGTTTTAGTCTAACCAGTCCATCTAGTCTAGTGCCCATGGGAATCAAAGGAGAAAGTAATCAAATCTACCTCCAGACTTAAACAATAAAAAATAAACGTTTGACTTTAATTCATTTTAAATAGCATTATTTAAAAATATTTTATGCAATATAGGAACACTTCCAGTAAGATGGAGGAATAGGCAGACAAGTGACACAGACCCTCTTCAACAAAGAAAAGAAAAACTAATTGACAGAGATACAGAAGATAATACTGGAGCCCTGAGCTTTGAAAGGAACTATACACAAGTGGGTTAGGCAACAACTAATAAAAAACTTGAAAAACAGTGAGTACAGAGATGGACAGAGCTGCGGACTGTCAACTACTCTGACAGGACCAACAGCCTGAATATTTCCAAGTGGTGTTGGGACCTGAGAATTGACCTAAAGATCAGCCCTGGTCACCAAGGGCTTCAGGGGCAACTGTGCTGGTGGCCTATGGCTAGGAAGGGAAACATCAAAGAGGGAGACAAACCTGAGCTGTTGATTTTCCGCTGTTCGGAGGGTGCAGCCATTTTGATTGTTTACACGTGGCAGCCATTTTGGATATTTAAAAGTGACCAAGGGCAAAGCCATTTTGAATGTTTATAAGTGGCAGCCATTTTGGATATTTAAAGTGACTGAGGGAACAGCCATTTTTAATGTTTACAAGCGGTTGCCATTTTGGATATTTCAAGTGACCAAGGGCGCAGCCATTTTGAACCTTTACAAGTGGCAACCATTTTGGATTTTAAAGTGATAGCATTCTCATTCAGATTCCAGGGACTTACGAAGAGGCTCTGTTTGCCAAGTTTGGCAGAGACATACAAAAGGCTGACAACAGGAAAGGAGACATGTGGTAGGTGTTTAAGTGCTGTGAACTAGTGAACAGAGGAGCACAGTACCCTGCTTACATAGATAATATACGAAGAAAACAAAAATCATGGGCATGTCACTCCAACATATAATCACCAATTAAATATAAACACAAAAACGTCACAATGCCTTGGAGACAACAGAGCATCACAGTCCACAAAGAAACAAGACAAAGCAGGAGAAAAAAGGGACCAGGATACAGACCCAAAACACATCCCTGAGGAAGACGCAGCATTGGAACTCCCTGTTAAGGAATTGAAAAGAATTATATTTAGGTATGTTCAACAAATGGAGAGACAGATCAAGGAAAACACAGAGAAAGCCCTAGAACAATTTTGAAAGACAATACAAGAACAAAATGACAAAATGAATGAAAAATTAGAAATGATACAAAATCTACACACAGAAATCCAGAAAATTAATACTAAATTTTCAGAACTAGATAAGACTTTGAATGGACAAAAGAGCAGAATTGAATCAATGGAAGACAGAATTAGGGAGACTGAAGGCAAATACCTGAACACTTCTTTGGAAAGGAATCGATCAGAAAAAAGATCAAAACAAAATGAAGAAAGCCTAAGGTTCACGTGGGATGCCATCAAAAGGAATAACTTATGTGTAATCAGAATTCCAGAACAGGAAGAGATAAGTAAAACCACAGAGAAAATTGTTGAAGATTTGTAGGAAGAGAATTTTCCCGGTATGATGAAAGATAAGAATACATCCATTCAAGAAGTCCAACAAAGCCCAAACAGGATAAACCCCGAAAGAAAATCACCCAGACATATCATCATCAAACTTACCAAAACCAAAGACAAAGAAAGAATCATGAGAGCAGCACAGGAAAATCGAAAAGTTACCTACAAGGGGCAACCAATAAGACTAAGCTTGGATTTCTCGACAGAAACCATGCAGGCGAGAAGACAATGGGATGGTATATATAAAACACTGAAACAGAAAAATTACCAAACAAGAATAATTACCCAGCAAAACTCCCTCAAATATGATGGTGAAATTAGGACATTTCCAGATAAGCAGAAATTAAGGGAATTTGTTAAAACCAGACCGACCTTACAAGAGATGCTAAAGGGAATCCTTTGGACAGAGAAGTAACAACAGGCAACAACAACTAACCATTAACACACATGATGATATAACCCAGAAACCAACCCAGCTAAGGAAGTAAAGAAAGCCTATAAGATTGTAAACAGGGAACCAGAGACATCAATTGACAAATGAGGACAACTACAAACCAAAAAGAGGGAAAAAAACTGTGTTGTTATAGAACTTCTAGATGGTAGGGAAGTCAAGACAACTACAAGATAGAACAGACTGTTCTAAACTTGGGAAGAAAACTATAAATCACAGGATAACCTCAAAGAAAAATGATAAACCTTCACATAAAAAAAGAGGATCAGCATAAATATTCAGCAAATACTAAAACAATAGCAATGAAGGAAGTGATAACATGATTCATAAACAAAACAAGCTCAGCATAGAAAATTATACGGAACAAAGAAATCAATACCACGTAAAAGCATATAACAAAAATGACAGCAACAAATTTATATTTGCTGATAATTACATATCTGGCAAGGGACTTATCTCTAAGATTTATAGTGGAAGAGTGGATGACCAAACTATGGTACATACACATAATGGAATTCTATGTAGCACTAAAGAATAATGTAGAGTCTGCAAAACACTGCATAATATGGATGAACTTGGAGGACATTATGCTGAGTGAAATAAGTCAATCACAGAAGGACAAATATAGTATTAGTTCGTTGTTGTGGAGGGTCAAGGAAAGGTTTATATGTGGAGGGAAACTTTCTTTGTTGGTTGCCAGGGGTGGGAGGGGAGGAGACGGAGCACTGCAAAAGAAAACAAAAATGCATTGACCCATGTCACTTTAGTTTTGTGTATTTCACTGTACATAAACTATATTTCAATAAAACGCATTTTTTAAAAATGAAAAAAAATTATGTAATATAATAGTATAATGATGAGGCTGTCTTTCTTAGAAAATACCAATGCTTTTTCTCTCTAAAATATAAATGCAAGTATCCCCGCTTTTCGAAAGTTTGCTTTATGCCATTTCACTTTTAAGAAAGATCAACTTTAGTACTTGTCTTTTCTAACCAAAAGAAATCCGAAGAGGATTTTTGTTTATACAAAAAAGGCAAAAAGTGAAGCTAGTGTTCAGCGTTTGGCTTGTAGTGAGCCATTAAAGAGGCAGTGTACACGCCCAGCAGCCAGAGTTGTTTTGACAAGCTCCTTCCCTAGGAACTACACTCAGCATCAAACCACCACTGTGCGTTTGTGAACACTATATGTTAGTGTTATTTTAGGTTTTATGTGTTTTTTGCTGTGATTTGGTAGATTATTTTTTGGGTCTGGGAATGGTCAAATTTTTTTTCCCATATAAATTAATAGTAATTGCTTCTTTTCTTTACACCACTTAGGCTTACAAAAAGTTTCATAGGAATGCTCTGCTTTTGGATGGCAGGGGAAACCTATAATAGAAAGTTAGATAGATAAGACTGAAAGCCATGGGAAACAGTAGCAAAAAAAAAAAAAATCAGCCAAAATTTAAATTAAGACATTAATATATGATTTATAAATTTAATATCAGAAAAAAAAATCATAAATATCTCACTTCTAGAAATCCATTTTTCCTTTTTATATTCAAATCAAGCAATAATAATGAAAGGAAAATCAACTCAGATGCCGTGGAGTCACTTCCGAATCATGGCAACCCCACGTGTTTCAGAGTGGAACTGAGTTCTCAAGGGCTAATTTGTCAGAAGTAGATTGTCAGGCCATTCTTCCGAGGCACCTCTGGTGGACTGGAATCTCTAACCTTTAGGTAAGAAGCCAGTGGTGTGTTAACCAGCTACATCACCCAGAAATAATGAGTAATAATGTGGGGAAAATCAGTGAGTCATCTGAAAGAGTGCTTAAATATAAATGACCACTGGGTGGCATTCTGAGGATTTACCTGTGTTGGAAACTTCTTCGTTTGTTACTGTATTACTTGCAGCAGGGTCAGATGGTGCTTGTCTATCTGCTTCTGGAATTTCATCTCCACTGTCAAAATCAAATTGTTCTCCCTCCTCCTCTTCATTATTATTAGTATCATATCTTACTTCATTTTCTAAAGTTAAAAATAACACAAATTACAATGTTAACATTTATTGCTAGCACAATTTTTAAATTATTGTACTAAAAAGACAGAGAGAAGACAAGGATATACTCAAAGACATTTACTAAATTCCTATATATTTTACCGCAGTTAGGCTTTTTACTGCGCAAAACATATGCAGTTAGGGCTTTTGCCAGTGTTCTTGATTTTTTTCTTAATAGGTACCACAAATTACAATTTTTTTTTTTTTTGTAAGGGGGAGTGAGGACAGAAAAGGAGAAAAAAGCCACTTTTCACATTTTAATTATAACAAATAATTAAAAATCAATTGGGAAAGGTCAAATTTTACTGTTGATGTTGTTGTGATGTGCCGTCGAGTCGGACCCGACTCATAGCGACCCCTCCTTGGGTTTCCGAGGCAGTATCACTACGGAAGTAGATTGCCCCATCTTCCTTCCGAG